ACGCCATTGGAGAACCCAGGGGACACCAGTGCCTTTCCACTGCGGACACATTGCCAACTGTTGCTTCCCAAACACATGCCAGCACTTGCGATTGCGTGTCCAGGCAGGCAATTTCCACGCCGCAACACCCCAATCGTTGATGCCATGGCCGCATGCCCTACAACACCTCGCCACCCCACCAGCATCCATCACACTCCCCCCAACCCGTACCCAGATTCTTGCATCCCTCCGGGACAATCTCCGTTCCTTACAGCGCCGGTGCCGCATCAAGTCCTAGGACATGGCATTGGAAGACATCGCCGCCAGCGTAGGATATTAACTGCTGGAAGCTATGGGGGACACCGCCAAAATGGCTTCCCCATCTCCTCGCAAATTGTTCGCTCTGTGAAGCGATTCCTTGAAGGCTTTTATGTCCAATATTTTGACCACAATACCACCAGCCTCGGAGCATTTTGCCCCACGCTGGTGCCGGAAGATGCTCGACATCGGAACATCACCGAAGCCCACAGATTTACCTGGACGGTTTATGGACGCCCTTCCCGACTGGAGCGGTCACCGACGACATGGCCCACATACCATACCTTCGCAGCGCATTTCAACCGGCTCAGCTGTGCCATGCCGTAAATCCGATTGGAAGCTCGGAACACCGCGCTTGCTTCCCAAGTGGAAAGCACCGGGTCTGAAGTGGCGCCTGATCATTGCGACAAAAGCAAGACAGCAAGACACCATGAAACACACTGCACTCCATCCTTTGCCGCTGTATCGATGCTGTTCTTGATGAGCTCCCACGCAATCTGTGGAGTGATTGCAGATCTGTACAAGAAGTTATAGTTTTGAGCTAACTTTTCAACAAGGCATTGTTGGATAGATACCCTGATGGCTTCATGCGTTGGACGGAATGCGTTGACGTGAGTGACTGTTTCATATGCCATGTTGTGAGGCCCGCAAGATTTGGCAGCAGGTTTCAAACGTCATTCGACGACGTGAACCTCGTCTTGCAAAGTTTTTCTTCTACAAACTATGTTGTTATTCCCGGGCATGTAGGCAGGGAACTCAGAGGCGCTCCCATGGGAGACGCACTCGGCGGTGCGTGCAATCTTGCGCGTGTTCAAGTTTTCACAGGAGCACAGCACGACCCCTGATGCTCATGGCTACGAAGGAACTTGTACAAAGTAGGTCCAGCTGCACGGGCACACGCTTCTCGTATTCGACGTGTCTTTTCGGGATGACCTTCGTTTGTTTTGCACCTGGCCGAAGTCATCCCCACTGAGACGGGACGATGTCCCGTAGTGGGCCAGCCATGTCATGAATGAGCGATACCGTGTGGGAACCATGACCATTGAACAGTTTGATGTCAACTTTTTTTGTTGGTATGAAAACACAGTGGACTGACGGTGCTCTGAGGCTAACTCCCAATTTTACAGATGATTACGCGTTGGATTGCCAGAGGCTTAAACCATGGCGTGGATCAGCTATTAGCCATGGCTGGAGATCAGAACGACGCACTCCTTTTGAACGATCGCACAGAAACACAAGCAAGTCTGAGGAATTTCGGTCTTATGGGTTCATACCCTTGCTTGAATGACGGTATGCCTTGCCTACTCTTCCTTCAGTGAGAGGCTCTATGAGCCATGATAGCTGCATCAGCAGCCGTCTGCACACACAACACTGCGCGCTCCCCCTGTGTGGGGTGTTTACACACCTATGGAGAGAATAGCGTGTTTTTAAATCGCCCCTTTCACTGGGCAGTGTTCGTTAAATCGCCATCGATGGGCAGTAAAAGGTACAATCTAATCTACTTCATTCAGTTGATCACTCATTGGAGAGAGAGAGCAGGATACGGCATCGGTCGAGCAGTTTGCTCGCAGAACTTCACTACGATGACCTCATCTGTGTAGTCCGGGGCAACAGATCGTATGAACATCATAAGTACCGGAGGTCCATACACGAGCAGAGTACGCTCACACCCCAGAACGACGCGACACACAGGCACCAAATACACCCTGCATTCTGTATCTGGCATAGAGGAGAGCCAAGATAGCAAAATCATACTCGTCACAGTTGATGGGCTGCCACTCTCGAAGCGCGGACAAACTTCCAGCGAGTTCCAAGAGAGCGCTTTCGGCTTCATCCAGCGGCAAATACCCTCATCATAAAAGGAGACATCCAAAGGCACAGTCGGAGGCCTCATAAAATTCATTATTCTCGCGAAGCTCACTTTCTGGATCCGGATCTTCAATGAACGGACGATCGGGAGTGAAGCTTACCTGGAGGCTTTCGCTATGCTGGGATCCTAAAAGCATAAGCCAGCCCGCAACTTCATTTACATCTTTGTCACCTAGATTGTTTGGAGTTCTGCTGCTCAGGCAAAGGCTCAAGACTCGGCATGTCCTCTTCATCTAGCTGCAGACTACGCACCAGAAAAGCCCTAAACAAACGCAAGGTGTGAATGTGAGGAAATCCGCAAAAGTAACCATAGCTTATCACTATACCTAACGCAACCCCTATGATGATCCCAAGCACAAGCCCTCCTAGAAAGCAGAGCTGCGAGTCCTGCACACGCACTTCCGCCACACAAGTCAGGGACTCCCCTTGCACAGGGCTCACGCTTTGTAGTAGGACCAACGCTCCAATTAGCGCTTTAAGCTTATTCATGTCCAGCTTCGGGGTTGCCGGGGCGTCAGGCTTCTCACCGCCTAATTTGCCAGGAACCTCACCCAAGTCTAGGTAGGAAACTAAGATCCAAAAACGTGCAGCCGACAAGGTTTTCGTGCCTATGTCCGCGGGTAAAACACTGCCCGGGATATGAAACATTTTCCACTTGTCACCTAGACGTTCACGCAACCAAAAACCCCTAATCCTAAGATGCCTTGTCCTCCACGGACCACCAGCAAGTTGAACAAGCGAAGTCGCAGCAGTGTTGTCTGTCTACGATACAAAGCTGATTTCTGTTTGCTCAAGTTCATCTAGGAGTGGCTTTAACGACGAAGACCGTTGTGCTGATTCAACAAAAGCAATGAGCTCGCTCTCCGCTGTCGACAATGCTACGACTGGCTGCTTGCAGGAAGTCCAGGCGATGACACGTCGGAGCGAGGCTGGAATCCGCAAAAGACTCGAGCACAGTCTGTTCACGCAGCACAGGCCAATGATCATCGGGTCCATGATTGCACGGTGCCGGTCCATACTTCAAGCACGACGCAGGGAAACGACGAAGGTAGCGAACAATCATATGGCATCTCACTAGGGCTTCGGAAGGGTTACAGTGAAGCAGAGATCCCGCAACACTTATTCCGTAGCAGATCTCAGTTCTGCTATGTGTACTTAACCAGAGAAGTTCTCCGACTGCTTGCTGTGCAAGGGACAGCTTTTCACGATACTCTACAGTAGTAGGGTCTTCTGGGTCTAAATTAGGGTCCAGGGATTTTGAAACAGGAACTTCCGAAAGACCCTCCACATGTCGTAACGATTAAGAAGCTCGCTCACAAGCATTCTTTGGTGCACCAGCAATTCACCGTGTACTCAATCTCGTACCCATTGAAATCTATGGGACCCTGGCTCAAGAACTTTGAAGACGACACTTGCCGGAGCGTTGCCACAGCTTCCAAGACAGTGGTTATGACAGATGTTTGTCCGAAGCACAAGAGGTCATCTACATAAATCGCCAAAATGGCAACGCGACCCTCCGTATGTGTGCTGACTCCCACAGATTCGAGTCCGACCGAAGGGGCTTGACAGTCGCGCGTTCTCCGTTGATGATGACATTGAGATCCTGTTCAAGCGACTTGTCCCTGAAAGCACTCCAAGACTTAGGGCTGATTATCAAGCCGTACAAGGCTCGGTCTACGGCCCAATAAAACTCAGAACAGCATCCAGACATACGGAAGATGGCGGGTACCTTCACTATGATTTCAGTGCCTGTCTGCATTAGTGGTGCTCTCAGAAAAGCGGTTTTTATGTCAAGAGCGGCTACGGCGACGAAGGGCACAATAGCGCAACAGGCAACGCAAAATTACAGCATCAATACCGCCACAGTAGTTGTCAGCCTTGGCCACAGAATTATCATTCAAGTAGTTCCCGCAGCAAATGACCGACATTTGAGCCGACCATCGGGAGCGTTGCACGAAAAGATGAGCTTCGACGGTATGAGTTCGTACTTCTTGCCGGACTGCTTAAGCTCGTTCAGCTACTCTTGAGGACGAACAGCCTTCGTCTCCGTCACCAGACTGTCGTACTCAGACTGAATTGCAGGCTTTCATCGCGGAAGGTCTGCAAGAAATTTCGTTGGTAGCTGCTCAGCTGATGTGTCCGTATTTGCCCGCGCATGCTCCAAATCCTCCTCAACCGATTGAACTGCATGCGCCGCCTGAATAAATGCCTGTAAGTACCCCTCGTCATCAGGACCCTGGGTGGCACCGTGATCCCACGCACTCGTTAACGCCTCCAAGGCAGATGACCCTTCATCAGCAAGTCTCGCCTTCATCAGCACATGTTTCACATCAAGTGCTCCAGCCACCTGCTCATTGGTACCAGTGGTGTCTCCGACGCGAGAAGGTCATACTGTTCCGAAGGATCCGATCCAGCTCTCGGCAGGGGCGATAGCCGAGACAAGCATGACGGCACAAGGAACAAGTCTGGCACCTCAGGGCTGCACCCTCGGATTCATCATCAGATTGTCCACCTTCCGCCCGGGCAAGGGCCGCATCATAATTACCCCGATCTAAACAAGACAATGCTATCTCAAGATCACCAGGAACGACTTCAGCGCCCGACAGATTTGGATCAGTATTGTCATCCGCCACATTTCCAGCGGCACGTTTTATCCACGCAGTTAACACAGGAACATAACCGCCCTCAGCAGCGCCAGACATCGATGTGGCCAACGATATTCATGCTGGAACTATCCCTCGGACTTACGGGGACTGAGGCGGAAATTGGATGGCCGGTTACATCTACCTGAGGCGATTCATCAACCAGCTTCCTAATCTTTTCGTAACCTTCGCTCACTCCCCCCAGCTGAGGCTCATCGTCCGCAGGATCAGCGCGAAATCCGCTGCACGAACCGGCTGCCCCCAGCTGAGGTCATTGTCCACAGGATCGGCGCGAAATCCGCTGCGCGAGCCGGGCACACACGACTGCAAATGAAGATGATCGATAGGATCTACGGGTTGATCGGGTTGACTCTGGGACTGGACCAGCGGGGCTCCCCCCAGCTCCGTATTAGACAGTGCTGCAATAGACTTGCCCCGCATGAACTCAAACTCAGCCTCGCGATGACAGTCAGACCGACGCGCACATGCAGACGGAAGGGAAAATCCCAAGCCAGAAAGATAAGAAACATCAGAGGACTCAAGGCGTGACGATGCGCCAGCTGTGTAAGCAACTATGACCAGTCGACGTCCTGTGAAGGGCTCAGTGGAGTATACTACGAACTGCCGGCTCACCTCGAACAGACTCTCCTTCACTAAGCTGTGCCCAGATCTGACCATCGAGGCCGGCTGCACAACCGGAACAACATAATTACGTGAACTAAGCTGCGTTGTTGCGGTCCTTGTGGATTGTGGACAGAATAACATCCTGAAGGATCATGACCGTGGTGTATGTGGCTTCGGGGAAATGGTGTCTCACAATCCTGCCAAGAAGAGCTGCGGTGCACGGAAGCTGACGGCAGGCAGCCGTGAGACCTCCCAACCCTCCATAACCAGAGACCCCAAAGCCTACCAACGCAGCTGTATCGTGCTGAGGAACTCCGACCTGGAAATGGGACTGATGCACAGGTACCCTGTGTCATGGGAAATCAGAAACAAAGGCGAGCGCCGCAACAATCTCAAAGTTTCGCACATGATCACAAGTGGCATTTTCCAGAAGTTGCAGCTCCGACAGCTGCAGACCAAGTTTTGCAACGCGCTGTGTGCCCCGGATGCGCCTACGCGCAGGACGGCTGGGAGCCCGAGCACGCTTCCCTGTGATTCGCCTATTAGTGGCTGGGCGCACGTCGCCCGGGTCATCAACATGAAAGGATTCAGCACTATCAGCTCTGACTTCAATGACCAACGCGGAAGTGATGACTATCTCACCGTTTTCCAACAGAACAAGGTGCCCCTTGACAACTCCACTACTCGGACAAACGACCCTACCAACCAAGGTCTTAGAGGACCACCTGCCCTTGCGCCGGTCCCAGGACCGTCGCTTGATATGCATGTTCGTGCCAAACGGCAACACCGACGGCGGTGAATGATGACCAACACGCTGACGGGCCTTCTGCCGAAGTCGGGCAGCCGCATGCAGCATAGGCAGTGGCCAGTACTCTCGACCAAGGTGCGGATCAATCAACAACGACCGAGTGTACGGGAAACAGAGGCCGAGGCTTCTACTCGGCCATTGCTCTTGAAGTCATCCGCATCTCCAGTTGCTTTACGCACGCCCGTCTAGCGCAGTACGCTCTCAGACAAGCATTGCAAAACTCACGACCTCGGTCAGCGTGAAATCGACGGATGGGATATCCCAGCGATTCAATTTGCGTCATAACCAAAGCAATGGCATCTTGAGCCGGCGACTGCGATTTGTTGGGCAACGGCACAACGAACACCAACTCAACAAGCTTCAGCCGCTCAACCTTATGCTTGGCAATCTCTGCCCGCCACTTATCATTCAGAGCATCTTCAGCAGACCCGTCACCATCAGGCAGCGGCTCTTCCTCCGGAGGAGGCTCAAGAAACTCAAGCGGATCGTCCCGCGGAGGGTCATCACCTAAATCACCCGGCTCTGCCTCACCGGGCTCAGACATGTGGTCTAAGATTTCACACCAATCTTGATGACTCAGCCCGACAAGCCCATCGGGTCGCGATGGTCACCTGAGTCCTGTCTCTTTTGCGTGGGCTCCGAAAGCTCATCTTGTTCAAGCGGAACATCCGCCGGCACCGTAAAGGCAGCCACTAATGCCCACGTCGCCCCATGACAACACTCATCTTTACCAGGACTATACTTTCCTACAAGGTCGGCAGACAAAGGAAAGGCCTGTGGACACTTGACGCGTCGGTGAGGGCGCGACTTCAGTCCTCCTGCCAGACAAGTGGCACAGTCATGCCGCCAAGGAACATGATCATCAAGGAGATGTTGCCGAAACGACTCATCAACGCCAACTGCCTTACGCAGCTGCCCAACTCCCTCGCGTTCATGGGACTGCAAGCTGCAAGCTAACATACCGCACAGCACGGCGACAACAAGATCTGCCGAAGAGCCCCGATTGTTCAACAAGGGTCCATGCTCTATCACCTCGACGGAAGAAGAAAACTGCCTAACGACATCCGGAGCTGCAGCGTTAGATGCGACTGTGTCGGGTAGCACCGATTCGGTGATCCATGTATGGGAAACAACGGCGGTGTGTTGCTGGAAACTCTGCCAGGTCGGCAGCTCAGAAAATGTCTGATGATGACGCGACATGCCAGGCTCAGCAACGAGGATGAAAGGCTCACTCACAGTGTTCCTTTTGGCAATCAGCCACACAATCAGCATGCGCATCAGAACCTGCTCACGACCAGCATCCGTATGCTCCACTTCTCCCCAAACGCCTAGAATTTTACCACTAACCGCCAGCGCAACTAAATATCCCCATATCTCCTTATCCAGGATAGACCTCAGCGCATCCTGCTGCAGCACTGCTGACCCATGCTCCTGAATGACAGATTGGCACTGCTTGGATACACACACCTTAGACCCAAACTGCACATATAGACCAGAAGCTTGTTGGTGCGACCTACGATGTCGACGTTTCCATGGCAACTCATGAGCATTCCAGGTCACATCCGACAAGGTAGACAAGGTCTTATGCGAAGCTTCTGGGAACAGCCTCTGAAGGCACAAGTACATCAAAGGACCATGATTGAGATGATCCGGCTCCAAATCGTCCAAAGCTTTCCACATGACTTCCGCCGGCCAAGACACAGCGGCGTGTCCTATCCTGGCTACCCGAGCCCTTGTTCGCGCAGTTTCTAGGTTATGGGCTTCTATATCACCAATAAGGGCTCGACGTATTATTGCCATGACCCTCCTGCTGCATTCCACCGAAGTCAACAGCCAGATTGGAGTATGCATGCTCTAGCTCTGCTAGAATCAGCTTCGCGAGATCAAACGCCCACTCATGGGTGGGATGATAATCTAACATGGGACTCTCACGATACATCCCAAGCCTAGACTGCATCTGGGGCAAACTATTCACCAGCCGTTTAATCAAGATTTCCAAACCCGCCAACTGCAGTGTGCTATCGGGAAGCTCTGCAGCGAGCTCCTGAATGCGATGCCTTTTCCTCATCCACTTCTTTATGGCCTGAACCTGAACACCATCAGCCACAGTGGTCGGCACAGCCGGATTTATCAAGAAACTAAGCATCGCACTCTTCTCAACACTAGAACCAGGCTGATACCGCCTCGAGGTTCAAGCAAGCTGTACTTCCCCGGCTTTATGCAATCGCGCTGGCATCTGGGGCCATACCAATACGATCGATGGGCGAAGCTCGAAGCCACGCATCATATGCCTCAAGCGCTGCCTTGCGAACCTCCCCCCACCACAGATGGGCATACATAGAAAGCTACTTATTACCGGTGTTTTGTGGCTAGCCAATTCCCTGTCATGGCATCAGCTTCACCGGAGGAACCTGCAGAGAGAGATGGAAGCTCCACAGCATGTTTCTCAAGCCGCTCCGGCTCTGTAGCAATACTCGGGGATGGCTGAGGTGGTACTGGTGTCCCTCCCGGTGTACAGTTATGCCTAGCAACATCAGTTGGGGCTCTAGGTCCTCTAGGTGTTAATGGTGCAACCGGCACATCCGCGCGTAATCCACTGCACGACTCAGGTAGAGGCGGTGGCGGTGGAGGCCTAAATGGAGACGCAGCTCGGGTACTGAAGGGATTACCTACATCATGCATCGCAGACCCAGCTGCGGTTGGCGGCACTGGTGCAGGGATCGGTGGGGCCGGTGCTCCGATTCCTCCTGGCTCTCCTAGAAAAGACTTGTCACCTATGAATAGGAACAACTTGGTCCACGACTTCAATCCCACCACTCTCATTAACCCTGGCCTTACGCATCACACCATCAACCTGGACCCATACCACACGGTCTTCATTATTGCGACTGTACATGTTCCGGACCGTACGGCAACCCCCGCACTGCGGGAGGGCTCACTCATGCTGGCGTTCGCTCCTCGCGAGCTTTGCACAGGATCAACCACTTCACTCGGAAAAGCGGGCGCACTGGCGTTCGCTCCTCGCCAGCTTTGCGCAGGATCAACCACTTCGCTCGGAAAAGCGGGTGCAGAAGGAAAGGACGGGACTACCGGGCCCGTCCGAATGGTATTTTTCGCTGCGCCTGCGCTCAGCCCACTCGGGAATCCGAAACCTGCACTAAATTCAGCAGGCATTCCACTTGCCGTGATCGTTGCTCGGCTTTCTGGGGCACTTAAGCCAGAATGCCCTATCGCTATCTAAACCTAATGGTCCCAAGCCAGCTGGATCCGTGGCTGTCCTCATCGACTCGGACGATTGCGAGCGAGACTCCAAACGATCCATCCTCTTCATTAAAACACCAAGCATTTCTACTATTTGATTCTGGGTTGCGTTGTCGTTCAGCCTACCGACCGTAACTGTATCAGACCTTGGAGTAGCATGATGTTCGGCTGCAGGCAAGCTCGGAACACCTAAATCTCCTGACGGCTGCCTATGCTCCTCCCCTAAGGAAGCCTCTGCTAACCTAGCCCTAGCCAATCTGTGGATCGACGGCATACCAGCTGCATCACGTGACAACTGGCTAGCAGCATCATCCAGAAATTCTGGCCTCATCTGCTGCAAATGAAATTCTGTCTGTGCTCTCTCACTCCAGAAAGGATTGTTTTGAACCATGCTCTTTGATCTATCAATATCTCCTTCGGATGGACCAGGTGATTCGTGAAGACGGAGACTTCCACCAGCCTCAATATCACGCGTCGCGCCCGGTCCACTGTCTTGCGTCTCATGTTGTCTAGATGTCGTATCGTGCGTCTCATGGCGTCCAGATCGGGTGGCTTCATCAATTTCCAGATGTCCGGTCATGAGGTTGGTCTTGTAACGCAGGTGCTGTCCTTGGGGTCATAACCCGTGGATCAGCTGACGGGTTAGCCATGGCTGGAGATCAGAACGACGCACTCCTTTTGAACGATCGCACAGAAAGACAAGTAAGTCTGAGGAATTTCGGTCTTATGGGTTCATACCGTTTCTTGAAAATGACGGTATGCCTTGCCTACTCTTCCTTCAATGAGAGGCTCTATGAGCCATGATAGCTGCATCAGCAGCCGTCTGCACACACAACAATGCGCGCATGGCATAGCTGGGCTTCAAAGTCCCAGCTGAAGACATCGGAATGCTCTGCCGCACATGGTTTCAAAGCAATGAACCCATAGCCCGCAAAGGCGCATGCCGTCAGGTGTTCCAACTTTTGAAAAATGCGGGATACCCTGAACCATATTTGAACACGGTAGCGCTGAACTGGGCGTGCTCATGGAAACCACTGGGCGTCGCAGGTTTGAGAAACGTTGCGGACATTCGCGAAGCTTTGCATGCTGCAACCACTTGAAAAGCGCATGCCCGCATGTCATGGTTATGGGAGGGCGCAGGCTGACTGTTCCCAGAAGCAGCGCTTGCACATGCAACACACTCGGTTTTCGAACCGCTGACATCCCGAAACCCTCCGATGAAATTTGAGTTCGGGTTTAACACGCACAGTACAAGTCCAGGACGCTGTGCGTGAAGCATGAGCTGAGTTTTGAATCTCCTTCTTTCGGCATTCTTGAGCATCCTTGAGGCGAGAGCGGCGCATTCCGACAGTTGTGCACCTTCTGATGCTTTTGATGCAAGTGGTTTCTTGATCAACACGTTATGCAGTTTCATTCAAAGTGGCTTGCGACTGCGGGCTGGCAGCCTTCAACAAGGAGATGGCAGTAGTAGCAGTGGCAGTAGTCATCGTCGTTGTCATTTTTGTACTATGATTATCAGTGTCATTTTTCGGAGTATTCATATTCTTTTTTTCGCATTATTTTTCGAGTAGGAACAGCAGTAGCAGCAGGAGCCAGCAGCAGCGGCAAGCAGGATCAGGATTCGGATTGGGAGTACGAGTAGAACTAGGAGTAGGACTAGGAGTAGGAGTAGGAAGAGTAGTAGTAGCAGTAGTAGCAGTAGTAGCAGTAGTAGCAGTAGTAGTAGTGGTAGTAGTAGTAATAGTAGTAGTAGTAGTTGTTGTTGTTGTAGTTGTTGTTGTTGTTGATGATGATGATGTTTCCCTCAACGCAAGCGCCAAATGCCTTTGAGGCACTGCTGTGGGCGAGGCGCCTGTACGGCGCGCATGACCAGGACATGCGCGATGCTCTGCTGGTTGGGTCTGAACGACTAAAGGGTGATCGGACTCTCAAGCTTTAGGCCAGGCAGTTTGTGGCCATTTCGGTTGGCATTCAAAATGATGATGGAGCTTCACTGGGCTCTCATTAGACAGGTCCATCTTCCGACGTTGTCTAGAGAGTTGGAGCTCTGCTATAGTTCGGAACCAAGGCGCCAAAGACAATTCAAATGGGAACCTTCGGATGCCCCAATATGCCCACCCTGAGATGTGAAGCTTAACCCCGTAACTTGGAGCCAACCTGAGTGGATGAAGTTCAGATTTTAACTTATATAACCCTACACCCCGCATGCTTGACCGCCGATCTCGAAACCCTCTTGACCAAGGCCTTCCAACTGCAGCGAGATGGGCTGCAACATGCGGGGCATGGGCGGGAGGTGCTTTCTTTCTGTGGCTGGCGGACTTCTTCACTGCACGAACCGAGATACAAGAACACCAAACCGCCGAAAAACTGCAGAATTTCGGTCAAAGACTTTACTATCTACTAGTGCTACTACGACTACTCCGATGACGACGACGACGACCACTGGTACTGCTACTGCTACTGCCCCTGCCGCTGCCATTGCCACTGCCACTGCCACTGCCACTGCCACTGCCACTGCCACTGCCACTGCCACTGCCACTGCCACTGCTACTGCTGCTGCTGCTGCCGCTGCTGCTGCTGCTACTGCGACCACCACCACCACCACCACCACCAACACCAACACCACCAACACCACCAACACCACTAACACCACTAACACCACTAACACCACTAACACCACTAACACCACTAACACCACTAACACCACTAACA